AAAGAGAACGGAAACTCTTGTAGAAATGTAGCAAAGAATTTAATATGCCGAAAAGCGGAAGAGTGTGCAATTTCTGTATGTGTGTGTGTTTTAAGTCGCTTGTGTGTGCCAGTCTGTAAATGTGTGTGTGTGTGTGCGACACAGATATGTGAAACAACCCGGCCACAGTATTTGGGAACAATACTATATAGCATGTGTCCACCCTTGTTGGCGCACACACTTAACGATTTCATCCAGCGGTCTGCATTTATTTGGTTAGTGGCCATATTGGTATAACCTGCGCTGTGAAACGCGTATATAACCAACCATATAGAATGGTGCTGGCGATGATGGCAACCGCCAACTGACGACCAAAGAAACCACAAACAATGTCAGGCAGCAATATAAAAGAATTCACACAGAAAATTCAGGTTGAGAAAAAGAAATATAAAATAGGCTTCAGAATACAAGCGAAAAGGTAAAAATTAAACCCCACAATTATTGGTATTGTTCTTAAATTTTAATACTTGTGTAGTGTATTATGAATATTGAATTTCGTTAGAGTGTAAATCCAGGATTATCATACAAATTTATTATTCGAATTTAGGGTATAATAAAAAATTTCCCGATATATCTGTATTTACTTTTCTTTTAGTTTCTATTCTTGGTAGCATTACTACAATACTATTATTTTTTAAAAAGTTCCTATAGTTTAAGCCCAATATTTCAAGCAATTGGTAATGTTGCTTACTATTTAAAATACTTTTTTTTTTTTAATGAATTTTGAGAGCTAAATGGCAAGGTTACTAAGATTTCATTTAATTGTAAACTGAATATATTTCAATAGTTTCCACAAAGTTAAGGATTATTTAAAATCCTTATTATTCCAAATGAGTTTTGGGAGCTAACTGGCAAGCTTATAAGTAATGCTGATGTTATTTAAGATTTCATTTAATTGCCAACTTCATATATTTCAATAATTTTCAAAAAGTGAAGGATTATTTATGAATTTTCTAATTATGCGTTTAAACTTGTTAAATATTTCTCAATTTATGGTTAGGAAAATTTTAAGATAAAATAAAAGCATAGAATTTGTACCCGAGGAGTTTCCCTAAAAACGTAGTTTCAGATACACGTAAGTCATGCGGAATTAAAATCCTATGTTTATCTGAAAACATGTTATACAAAACCTGGTTTCTCTGAATGCGTGCACGTTTAAAATGCAGTTTTCTTCGAGTGAGCAACCAGCAACTAACGCGGCCACTTGGTGAATCCTGCAACTCGCAGAATGTTGCTTTGTCGTTTCCCGAGTGGGGCACAAAGGGGGCTGGCCAGTTCATACCCCTTTAGGCAGGGAGGCAGCCCAGTTCAAAATGCAGCTCCGTCGAAGGCAATGCACCGGGTCCGCGGCATCGTGCTCCCAAACTCGAATTACAGGTCTAGCATACTTTTGTGTGCAAATATTTACACTGCTCGTAGCGGCGCGTTCGTCCTTCAGTCCGTGCGCTCAACTGCCGCTTCTGCACTTTAAGATGTGGGTGTGGTAGTCTGTGTTTGTACCTCTGTACCTCTTTTTTGCTCCACATTCGACTCTACAAATGTACACACACACACACACATGTATAAATATGTATGGGAATATGTTTTATGCGCACGCCTCTCTGTCGCCATATGCTCCTGTGTCTCCCTATATGTATATATAATCAACTCGATGATGCTGCTGCTGCTGCTGCTGCTGCGGCTTCTGTTGGTCCATTTTGTGCCCTCAACTCACTGGCACTTTGTATTAGTTATGAGTCATCGCTATCGCCATAGTCAACATCATCGCATCAACGTCAACCTCAACCTCCATTCGCCGACATTTTCTGTTTTCAGTTTGGAAATTGAATTCCTTTTCGGACAGCGAATGGACGTCGAGTGGCTGGGTGCTGTCGTCTCGTCCTGTCTCTTAGTCAGTTATGTGAGTGTGCTTCCGAATGTGTGCAAACAAAAACTTACAAGTAGAGAACCATTTAAATACTTGAAATATTCACTCTGGCACATTGCTTTGTCGATTGACAATATATACCTTTTTTAATTGAAGTAGATCTGTATTTAAACGCCCTTGCCAGCTTCAAAATTCGACTCTGGTTCGATTTGGACAAGTTGCTATTAAAAAGGTAAATCAAATAATTGTTCAGTCGAATGATATTGATTTTTCAAGGCGCCTGTTGAACGGTTTACAATTTTGATCAAATTGTAATTATGCTTCAACTTTTAAGAGCATTTGGAAATGGAAACATGCCCGGTTTTAATTTGAAAATATTGTTTGCTTGTTCTAAAACATTTAGAGTTCCTCAATTCAAGAGACATAACCAAACGGTTCCAAACTGGTGGCAAATATCGCAATTATTCTTATTATTATAGAGTATGCTTTGAACTATTTTTATAATCTTTCACAATTATTAATTGACCGAATAATTTTAAAATATTTATTTTATATGTTTAGTAATTGCTTTTCAATCGAACAAGCTCTTCCCATGTCAGGATGCCATGTTTTAAACTATTTTTATAATATTTTCAAAATTATTAATTTTTCGAGTAATTATAAAATATATATTTTATATGTTTAATATTTGCTTTTCAATTAAAAATTAAGTCTTCTCAATTAGTGCTTTAACAATGTAAGATGGATTGATTGAGTGGGATGTGGGGATGCTGAGACCCTATCTTTGTCGCTATAAAATCATCTAAATCTGATAGCTTAATATTCAGCTGATCTATATTCAAAACAACCGATTTCAGATTATCTCTTCTGATTTTTGGCGTGTCAATAAAACTATAGTTGTACTTGTATACTGTGGAGTTAAAAAGTTCCAACCATTTTAACGGACCACTCTAAAATGCAGTGTGTGTAAGGGTGAACGCGGCGTATACGTAATTTCCTTAAGTTGCTGAAAACTGTCGTCAGTTATGCGCCCCGCTGTCTGCCGCACTCAACTGCGTCCCAAAGCGACGTTGCGGATTCGTCATCACATTCGCTCCTCCCCATGCCAGAAAATGTGATGCTGCTGATGAGGATGATGACGACGAGGGAAATGATTGTGGTGGTGGCATCGTAATGCAGCTGTCCGGAGGGTTCATGTCGCCTGCGGTATGCAAACATTGGCAATACTTGTGTTCGTACCCATTCATCGTGGTCCTAAGGATATTATGCTAGGCATGATGTGCTTATGTGCTGAACAGGCTTTTAGGCGCAAAATTCCACTTCGTGCCCGTCGGCTCGTGCCACAACCAGAGGCCATTTATGTCATTTGTGCTCCTCCAGCAGGAGCAGGATGTGCACCGACGTATGTATGTACATACACGAGTATACCATATGTACTCGTATATACATATACGATTGCCGTCGATTAATTGGGCTTGCGCAGGGGATTAGAAATGATTTGCAAAAGAAACTTTTTGCTGCGGTGCGACAAAGTTATTAAATTTTGCTTTCGCTTTTTTTAGTGAGCGCTTTGTTTCAATAACGGAACATGGTGCGACAACCATCATTCTGTTGGCTTGTGTCGCGGATTGCTCACTTCCACTTCCGGAGGGAAAAGCAGGCCGTGCTGTACCGTGCTGTTGGCTGCCAATGGCAACATGGTGTGGTTGTGTCGCCGCTGCTACCACCGCCAAGAATACTGCCAACCTCTCTAGCGGTGGAGACGCCGTAGAGTCGTGCGCCTTGCCACAATGTGTAGCATGTAATAAAAATGCCATTGTTAGTGCTGGTGACGTCGTTGACAATGCCGACGGGGATATTGTGGGACCCTCTGCCTGCAAATAATCATGTACAAGTGCTCATAGACACACACACATATATATATATATATATATATATATATACATATATGTATATATATAATAAGTGTAAATCGGCTGCTGTAATAGTTGGGAGCATGGGAGTTGGATTCTCTATTTCCTTTGCCATTTTCTGTTGTCTGCTCAGCTCCAGCGTGGGACACATTGCTTATGTTTATGGCACAATGTTGATGATGAAGTTGTCGTTCTCGTCGTGGTCGTGGTCGTGGGCGTTCTGATGACCCAGTTAGTTGTTAGTTTGTTGTTTGTTGGCTTTGGCTAAAGAAGAACATGTACATTATTATTATTATTTATACATTAATTAAATATATTGTACATGCTCTAATTCCATTTTATGAGAGGACAAAACTGACATCCAACATTGTGTATTGTCATCATGTAACTAATAATTGGAAAAGGCACAGTTTAAGGCTTTTAATTATATACGTATAAGGAATAAGTTTCTACATAGATTGTTAGATTGGCCATTTAGTGAAAGACATACTTAGTAAATGCTTATTTATACATATGTATAAAAATGGTTCTTCTAACAACTTTGTTCATTAATTAAATATAATTAAGAAGATGCCTAAAACATTTAGTTGGTTGATCCGCATTCTGCGCTTTATTAGTCCATCAAAAGAGTGAATGCCAAATTATGGATGCAACGGCGCGCTGATAAGATTTCCTAGAGGAGTTCAAGAAGAATATTCATATTAACTTTGCAAGGTAGCCCAATCGCTGCACTCTCGAAGATATCAAGAAATATCTTCAGAATCTAGAAACTGTATGGTATTCCTATGAGTTTTCACGCATTTATTTTGTTTGGTTGCTATAAATAAGAATTGTTAGCATAAAAATCAATACTAAATACAAGCGCTGTGGGTTGTATTGAGACTCTAAGTATTCCAAGGTAAGTAGTAAGAGTACATGGAATATTATCAGCTAAAATACTTGTATATAAAATGGATTTAATAAAAATGCACGAAAGATGCTCAGTTCTACAAAATTTAGGGACAGTTTGCCAAGGAAGGTACAAATGTTTTCTAATTTTAAGGATATCTTTCGATTTTCGAACCTATAAAATTTTTTCCCTTAGAATAAGCTCAGAATCTTCATTTCATCGCTTTCTCCCTTTCACTTTCTTTTGCCAGCCTAAGTTGTACAATAAACTTTATTTCTCTCTTTGATTGCAGGTTTTGAATAAGGCGGCATAAAGGCATCATGGAGTTGGAGCCGCGCGTAGCGATGTTGCAGGACTTGCGCCTACAGACCTTCGACTCAATTCGTTTTGCCTCCTATCGCACTGCCTCGAAGCTGCGCTATATACAGAAGTCGACCAATTTGCATTTGGTTGACATTTGGAATGTTATCGAGGCTTTTCGAGAGAACGGTCTCAACACGCTGGAGCCACAGAGCGAAGTGAGCGTCGCGCGACTGGAGACTCTGGTTTCATCGCTCTACCACAATCTGAACAAACGTCTTCCTACGGCCCAGCAGGTGCCAGTTGATTCCAAGGCAGGCTTGCTGCTTAATTGGCTGTTAGCCGCCTACACAAGGTAAGAGAGACAGCATCCTGAGATGGCAGTTGAGAACCTTCGAATTAATCTTCCGATCTTTCTTGTTTCTTTATTGTCACTCCAGTGATAACTCTGGAAAAATTCGCGTGTTTTCGATTAAAGTAGCGCTTGCGACTATGTGCTCTGGCAAGCTGGTCGACAAACTCAGATGTAAGTCTCTCTGGCGGCCTATCTCTAAAGTTAACATACACTAATTGGTGTTGTTTATAGACATCTTCTCGCAGATTTCGGATGGAGCCGGTCAATTGGTGGCCTGGAAATTGAGCGAGTTCCTGCGTGAGGTACTCGCATTGCCGCAAGCCGTCTATGAGTCGCCCACATTCCACTATAAGGAGGGTCTGGAGGAGGAGATCTTCCCGGCCGAGAACAAGGTCACAGTCAACGATTTCATGGCAACACTTATGTCCGAACCTGGGCCGTCGTGTCTCGTCTGGCTACCGTTGCTGCATCGTCTAGCGACGGTCGAGACGATTGTGCACCCGACGATCTGTTCTGTTTGCCACAAAGAAAACTTCACGGGATTTCGTTATCGTTGTCAGCGGTGTCACGCCTACCAATTGTGCCAGGAGTGCTTTTGGCATGGCAAGACATCGCTGAACCACCAAAACGATCACGAGGTCAAGGAGTACTCAAGTTACAAGTCGCCCAGCAAACAGATTGGACACTCGTTGCGGAAAAGCTTCCGATGCGTGCCCGAGAAAACGACGCAAGTGTTGCCACGATTCCCGGACCAACCCGAAAAGACTCTCAATTTATCGCACATCGTGCCACCATCACCGTTGCCCTCGCACAATGGCTTCTCCGATCCATCACTGCTCCACGGCCCGGGCGGCATTGGCCCTGGTGGAATTTTCGATCGCTCCAGCACACTAGATTCGCGAGCAACGGGTCGCAGTCTAGACAGTGCCACCGGCACCACAATGTCTCGCGTTGCAGCTGCTTCGGCCAACGATGAGGAGCACCGGCTTATTGCTCGTTATGCTGCACGCTTGGCGCAGGAGAACCGCGCAGTAAGTTTAATTTCCGTCCTATACAGGAACCTCTAATGTCCCATTGTTTACATAGCCCTCAAATTTGGCCGGCGGAGAGAATGTGGCGGCCATTGGCACTGACAATTCGCGAGCCCAGCGTGAACTCATTGCACAGCTTGAGGCCAAGAATAAGGAGATAATGCGCGAGATCGCGCGTCTACGACGTCAACAGGAGACTGAACAAATGGCGCCGGAGAATCCAGCGCTAATCAATGAGCTGCGCGCTCTAAGGCAGCGCAAAGGAGAGCTTGAGGGCCATTTGGGGGCGCTGCAGGACTCACGTCGTCAGCTCATGGAGCAACTGGAGGGTCTGATGCGTATGTTGAAAAATCAACAGACGGCCTCGCCCCGTTCCACACCAAACTCGAGTCCACGCTCGGGCAAATCGCCACCCATGCCGGGAGGCGGTGGTGGTGCAAACGTGCTCGGCACTTCTCCCATGAGCGCTTTACACGCCCAGCAGTTGCAGCAGATGTCGCATCCCATGCTGGGTGGCGGCGGCAGTGTGCTGCGCTCCACACAACAACAACTGCTGCAGGCTCAGCAGTCCGCGCCCCTGACCCAGCCACCCGCTATGGGCCACTCGCCCTTCAGCCAAAGCCAGTTGGAGCAGCTCAACCAGATCAGCAGCGATATGCGCAGTGCCTTTGCTACGAACGGCAGTGCAAGTGAGTATAGTGGCGTCTAACGTCTGCCAGGGAATGTGAATATCAAAATAGGAAAAGAATTTTAAACAGGCGGAAAATTGAATTGATTTTTATTATTAAATTGGCTGATGCGAGTGCGAGTTTTAGGCTGAGGGTTCAAATTCTAACAGACCGCTAATAATATGAATAATATTCTTCACTTCACACTCCACGATAAAACGAAAAACGAAAAACGAAAAACTGCTGCCCGCACAACACACCTGACAACTAAATCACTACCCCGATATATATGTATATGTATAAAAATACACACACACGCACACACACACACACCAAACCACCCCACCACCTTTAACACTTGTGTGTGCGCGTTCACCATAATAACAAATAAACAACCAAACAAACGACAAATTTCGCTTTATGGCTTCGCAGCCCCGCCGCTCATGCGCACCGCAATCGCAGGCGCCGACGCCGAACTGAACGAAACCGCTGATAATATAACATCGGCCATTTCGACCATGGTCAATGACCTGAACGCAGGTAAATGCACGGCCTCCAATGCACAACCCATCTCTTAAGTCTCTCTTAAGTCTGCTCCTCTAACACAATCGCTCGTCCTCTTTGTCGCTTCTGCTGTGCATTATGTGCATTATCGCTTCTATATACTATACACACAACAATCTAAATATATTTTAATTATTCACTGCACTGCGAGCTTTTAGAGAGGCTGCCCAATTGGCCTGGCACTATTAGTTACACCTTAGAATTGCACAAACAAACAAAAATTTAGAGTAGCACCGCTTTTAGAGCAAACCAGCACCCGGATGGAGCGCCAACGCCCATGTATGTCCACTCCCACGCCTTTATAAATGCTATCGCTACGGCCTCGGCCATGCCACCATGCCACCTTGCCATCTTGCCATGCCCTGCAATGGAATGTTCTCTGTGCTTATCTGTGTCTGTGTGTTTTTCTTTGCGTATGTTGACAATGTTTTGCAGGACAATCAAGCTCCTTGCCACAGCCGCGTTTCATAATGCCATTGGGTAAGTTAAGCGACTTCTCTGTCGTCGTCATCTCCTGTCGCCGGTTACGGCGACTGTGCGTGCTTGTTAAAGGCGACTTTTGAGATGTCCTCTCCAATGCCCCGCAATCATTTGCTTTCGTTTTATTTCTTACGTTTTTTATTTTAGACTATTTCCCAAATAGACGGCATAAGAAAAAATGCTGCAAATGTTGACTCCTTGCTTATAATTTTAATCATTTTTAATCCACAACCGACTACCACACAACCAACACATTTTAATTACGTTCATCAAATGTTATTATGAAATTTCAAAAACAAAAAACAAATTATATAAAAAAAACGTTATCAAGAGTACCGCCATATCGAAGGCGGCGAGTCTTCGGACTCCGAGTGCGAAGTTCACGAGGAATTCTTTCATGCCGACGAGGAATTTGAATGCAACGCAATCGATAATCAGATGCTATCGTCGGTCTCCCCAATCGATTTCGACTACAATTTCGGCCAGGGTGTGGAACAATCTCATGTTAATCGCATTCTTGGCTACCGATACCATCCAGAACTCTTCATTGATGATGATCAGGCCGGGTTTCCGGCACTGCATGAAATCGGTGAGACAATCGATGAACTGCAGTTGATTATGCACGCTTATATTATGAAATATAGTTTGAACATATAAACGTCGTTAAAAAGTTATAGGTTACCTCGCAGTTCAGGTAAAATGTTTAATCTTTCCTTAAACGTACAGTACTCGTACTAATTAAGTTAATGATTTCTATTTGCCAGCTTAAACACATACTTTGTACACTCAAATATCATTTCAAGGTAGATTCTTCTAACTTGTTGCTTGAAAAAACTCACCTAAGCACATGTAGAATTTTATACGCAACAGGATTTTTATGCAAACTACCAAAACTTATAAATAACTCGAACATTGTATCAACCATTGAAGCATAAAGAACATGAAATATTTCATTATTTTTATAATACATCGACCGCTACTAGTTGAGGTCAATATTTGATATTGTAATTAAAAGTGGACTGCCAGAATGCATTTTTTAGGCTTATAGTATAGCAAAATTGTTGGCTCATCACGATAGGCCAATTAGCTGTTTAAAGATATAACCAGCATATCCGGACTTTTACCAATTTCATAGACCGAGAGACTATTTTAAAACTTATTTAAGTTATATATTATTTTTAAACGAAAAAACACACAAAAAGAACAGGTTTTTTTTGTGTGTTTGGCAATGGATCGCGATCGATGAAATTAGCAATCCCAAATCAGTAATCGGAACCACAAATTATCGAAGCAACATTTTTGAGAATCAGTTTCCAAATCGTTCTGAAAGTATTTACAAATTAATATACATTTTCAGATAATTTTAAATAAAAATTAATAGATCTTTATTTTTTAAATACAATTACTAACAGGCATATTCCAGGAGTCACAATCCCTTTTGTTCCTATCTTCTCTCCCTTTCCTTTCAACATATTGCGTCTGCCAATGCCTCTACAAGCGATGTGATTTGTAAAGAAAATTAGTTCCTGGACGATATCAGCTGTGCTTTTTAAAAAAAAAAGGGGAAAAGTTCGGCATTCTTCAATGCACTATAAACATTCATGTTACATAATACTTGTATATAAAGATGTACAGCCCGCAATAGTGTGTCCAAAGAATATCCAATTCTAAACATGAAAAAGAAACTCATTTAAATATGTACGTAAATATTTCATGAGAGCACAATATCACTCCCACTTTCTGTATTTGTCGATCTGTCTAGCATTATCATGTGCATATCAGTGTTCATGGAGTAATGTCATATATGAATCTAGATTAGATAATAATAAAATTTGTTGCTCGTTACAAAACAAAATTAAAGGAAAAAAGACTATTTTGTTAATTTGTGGATAAAATGAACTTATTACGGAACAAATTTAATGCAATTTCAGATTTCGATGAAACACAATCATACAATCCCGAATGGAATGAAAAGGTAAAGGATTTCGTTAATGAAATCCTTCTTGCAGTTTATTGATGTTGTCGTTGGTTTCATTTAAACACGCACCCTACTGTATACGTATTCTCTATGAAACAATATATACAATATCTATACCCGATCTTTATTCTTTTCTCTATCATTTTTATTATGTATAGCTTGTGTAGTTGCGATCAAAAGATAAGTTTAAACTATCACTACAATTTTGTAATGTTAAAAACGCATGCCAGATAGGAAATCTTTGATTCAGTATTTGCTTTATTTATCCCGCTATATTGATGCAATCAAATGAAGTAATAAACTTACAAATTTTCAGGCAAATGCGAATAGCCAATGGCAGGAACAGTTTGCGCAATGGAGTCTTAATTCACAAAAGAATTAAATGTGTCTGCCCAGGCCCGACTGAACGGAACAACTACATATAGTGGATATTGCGAGGCGGCTTACGGATGAACTTGCTTAGCTTTTTAGCCTTAATTTAGATGATTTATTTATTGACTTATGCAGGAGTAGTCTACACTACCTTAACCCTTATAACCTTTTGTTTGTTTTTTTTCATCTGTCTTGGTGTGAATGGAATACTTTATATATACTATATAGTACACAGAAAACATGCATAATCATGTATTGTCTAAAAAATTGGTTTACCTCAGCGAAACAAGCAGAATGAAATGAATGAATTAAATAAAAAGACTAGCAAATGTTCAGCTTTAGAAACCCCTTTACCTATCTCTTGAATCTCGTTGAAATCGAAAGCGCTGTTTGTGCTTATTTTGCAGTAACACTTTGAATTTTAATTTGTAATAAGTACGAGTATATACAAATCGCAATCTGCTTTTAGCTTTCTAAGCAAATATTTATTATACACAAATAACAACTGAAATCAAAATGAACTTAATAATACAAAACAAAAACACTTTCATGCATATTGTACTTAGCCTAAACCAGAAACTTGTTGACGGTTTGATATACGATTAATGAATATTCTAAAGCTTATTTTTGTCAAGGCATAACCAGCCAGAGACACATACAAGTTACATCAAAACAAGCAAATAAACAAAATTTTTATTGATCGTTTGTTGAGAGAGTCAAATAATTTTAACTTCCATTCGTACATACAATTTGTCTACTTAGTATGTATGAAAATGTTGAAGCTGCAGAATGAAATTCCAGAATGACTTAATATAGCGAATACACGAAGTTCATTAATAGATACATATACATATAATGTTTGTATAGTATATAATGAGATAGAATGAAAGATCTAATAATGTATTTTCAACTATGTAGCATGAATTATTGGGACAACATAATACATACTATAAATTTTAATCCATAACAATGTTAAAGGTACATAAAATATAATCACAATGCATAATGCACAGACACTCAAAACCAGACATTTATATAGAAACTATACATAACCATTAAATATTGAATATTATGAAAAGTAAATGATAATAAAAACCAAAATTTTAAGTATTTGCGAAAACGATGACTTTTCTTTCGATCAACTGGCTGTGTACTCGAAGATTTCGCCTGATATTAAAGCTAATTCTGTAAGACTGGAGAATGAAGAAATGGTGAAGCAAAGTTTTTATTCGGGGGATCAGCTTAAGTACTTATGCTTGACTACAAGTTTCTATCTTATTGTTACTTATCTGCATTTTATTCCCCTTTATTTTTCAAAAAAATTGACCAGAAATTCGTATAGTTTTTCAAATAGACTATTTTTGTTTAATTAAAAACAGTATTAAACGTTAGCATCTAACATATTTGTAAAATACAACAATTTCAACTTGCCATAGCTGGACGAATAATCTTGTAAATTAATTTGTTTTAATATCCTTTTCTTAAATGTTCTTGCTTTCGAACATACATCTTTTTTTTCATTTATCTTCGAATCATAAAATGAACTACTTATCCTAAATGCTGGTTGGAATTGCATATCAACGTTTCTCTTCTCTTGATTGGCTTATTCTCTTTGGAGAATGTTTGGAGCCTACAAATAAAAATGTTGTGGACGAAGCAAAGATTTCGGTTTTAGTAATTAATTCATTGTCAGTGTTGGGATTTCTGAAGTAGCAGTATTTATTATAAACTTGATGTGTTTGTACGAAAAGTGTACGGTTATTTTATTTACATGTTTGTGTGTGTTTTATATAAATATATATATACTCGTATGTATGTATATTTTACAATATTTATAATGCAATAATGGTACGGCACTTAAAACAAGGAGACTCTGAAACACACTCACACAACGGTAAAAAATGTATAAAATTTTCAACTTCAACGTCATCCTACAAATAACATAATTTTAAACAATTTGGCTTCGAGTGCAACTACATTATAATATCTATGATTAAAAGAACTGATATGCGTTATGACACACATAAAGATGTCTAAAAATATCAAACATTAAATCAGAATAAATAAACTCTATCTGCTGCCTGCTATTCTATGCGAATGCGCGTTGAGCGGCGTAGCTGCGAAAACTCCTTCTTCACCAAACGCGCCAGAAGTATCATGGCAAGTATGTCGGCAACAATAAGCATGTGGAATACATTTTGCCAGCCGGCGGTAGATATGAGGCCAGCGAGCAGCGGTCCCACTGCGGCACCCACAGACCCCGTACCATCAATAATGGCAGTGACGGTGGCCAGCGCGTTAGAGTTGCCCTCCAATGAACTGTGCTGACCCAATTCCGCACTCACCGAGGTGGTAATGAGTGCGTAGGGTCCGTTAACGAAGATGCCAACTACGATCAGTAGAATAACACTGATGTAAACAGACATTGCGCCATATTGTTGATACGCAAATAGCTGTAAAGTAAAATCGATTTGATTGATTCGCATATAAGTATGTATAATAAATGCCTCTTACAATTGGTGAGGCTATGAACAGCATAACTGTGCAAATTGTTGCAGACATGCCAGTTAAATCGGAAACATAACCAGCTGCTATGGCGCCTATAATGCCGCCCACATCGAAGAGCGTTGAGAGGTCAGCCGAGAGCTGTGGACCCAAAGTGCCTGCAATTGTATAACAAAATTAAAAGATGAAATGTGGGTGCAACTGTCTGGAAAATGGAAAGACTCACTGGAGGACTGTATATATAGGGGCAGCCAGTACATGAACGTGTAGCTGACGAGCTTTGTGAAGAACAAGCAGAGCGAGAATTCAGCCACTCCGGGTATATAGAGTGCGTCGATGAGGCTTATAGGTCGGCCTTCATGTGTATGGTGTCCGTGAGATGGTTGTCTGGCCAAAATGGGAGTGCGTTCAGTTGCCCGATAGTTGACCTCCTTTAAAAAAATGAACACATACCTATTAACCATCTAGCTAATATTAAAGAAGGGAACACATAAACAGCGATAGTTGGGGAAATGTAAGAGGCATAAAAGCGCAAAGGCAAGCGGCGACGACACATTTGGAACGTAAAAATATGCGTGCACTTACATTTTCGTTAATAGAATAGTATGACTTGACAACAAGCTGTGCAGCCAAAAAGCGAATTAAACAAAAATACATTAAAAATTCAAGGCCAAACAGCAACGTCAAGGACAAACGTTGTTAAGGCTAAAAACAGTTCATTATTACTTTAACACTTACAGCGTCGTACTGACGTGGTTGCTCTTCATCGTTCTCCTCATCTGATTCGTTTGAAATGCGCTGTTCCACTGAACTACGTTGCGGGTAGCAGCCTACAATTTCGGGCGTATCGACGAGAAACAAGAAAAGCAGGAAGCCCATTACACCAATAATTATGCCAGGTACAACGAATGATAGCGCCCAATCGCTTTCCACGTAGTGTGCTGCTATCAGGGTGCCCAGTATATTGCCAATGGATGTATGGCTGTTCCAGATGCCAAAGATGAGGCCGCGCTTAGACTTGCCAAACCAGCGACCAACAAGTGTTACCACTCCAGGCCAGCCTGTGGTCTGAAATATGCCAGCGCAAATCTGCATGATCACAAAGTACCAGATGCTGTGTATGTTGGAGGTGCGGGCCAGGCCGAATCCATAAGTGAACACACCGGTCATTATCATGCCCATCGACAGAAAGTAGCGCAGGGAGACGCGCTCAGCAATAAAGCCCGATATAAACATGGCAATAGCGTAGGAGAACAGAAATGCTGAATCAAGCATACCAAATAATGTGGAAGAATCGGGACCATCTGTAGATGTAAGAAGTCAGTTAAACAACTATGTGCAAAGCAAAAGATTTCGTTTTAAAGACGATTAGCTTACCAAAGGGCGGGTAACCACAATCGTTGGCATCGTGCGGTTGTGGTGCTGGATTTGTGCAGTTCCCATGCAGTACCGATTTCACTACCGAAATCGGTTTGCGCGACATGTGGTAACATGCATAAGCAAGGAATGTGAGCACGAAGATTGAGATCTTGTAGCTGAAAATAATTTGCTGTAGTTTATGTTTTAATTGCGTATATTATTGGGACTCACAGCAATTCTTTGCGTACATGGATGCGAGAACAGCATTGTTGCGAAAAATGCTGCACCGCTCGGATACCAAAGGGAATGTCGTTGTAGCTGTTACTCATCTTTCGTGTCCTTGCCTGTGGTCTCATCGACTGACAGAGTCGTCGTGTGTAAATGCTGCACACGTCCGGAAGGCAATAGCAGGCCGCGTGAACTGCTCAATTAACTGCGGAAAAAAGGCAAAATTATTCAGGTAAGCAAAGGAAGCCCATCAACAGGTAGTTGCACTGTCGCTGACAAACACACATGCATAAATACATAAATATATATGTATATACATATTTACGTATCTAAATAATGTATTCTACACTCAAAATAGGGAAAATTTGCGGTCGACGCGCATTAAAGCAGACGATAGACGTTTGTTTGGTTTGATATGCGTTATCGCGTTTCCGCATACATATGCAGTTTTAGTTTGCCAGCTGCCAATCATATACCCATTTGAACAAAGATATGTACATATGTGATTCATGCAGCTAGGCAGTTTGAAGTTGACACTCTCATTGCCATGAATTTGCTGAGTTGGCATTATAATAAGTCAAAAATATTTGAGTATTGGTGCACTCTTGCCTCTGGCTGTTTCAGACTTCACTTTTATTTTGTCTTTTTGTTTTGTTTACCATCAATTGTTATTCAGTAAACAAAGCACTCGCTAAGGCGAAATAAGTCGCAAAGTGCAGAAATTGGTGCCTGTATAGGAATAGCAACACTAACCGTTAAAAAAACATTGGCAAATGATTGAAAATATTGTAACGTTCGATAATAAGTCGGTTGCAAAAATAATTTGCTACACGCACATTAACTGCTTTCTGCTGAAGCCCTCGCTTGACGTGTACATGCCCAGCTGATGGCGGCGTTGCCATCCAACTGTTGCTATTCGTTATCGTATATCGAGTATCAGGGTTGGCTGCACTAACCGTTTAATAAAACTGCCGTTTGAAAAAACGTAGGGCACAGCTGAGGCTGACGAATCGGGCGAGCACAGTTAAAATATTGACATTATTTTAAATTAGTTAAAATTTGTATATGTTTTATTTCTGTTACTTTATTAACAATGATCTGAAATAGTTGCTCCCAATATTCTTCTTTACCACTATCTAATATTATATTGATTTTAAACAAACAAATGTCAACGTTGCTAATATTAAATGATTTCCACTAAATATTCTAAGGCGAAATACTGTGTGAAATACGATTTTTTACAAGTATATGTATTGCGAATTGTTCAGCATCAGGAAATACGATCCCGTGAGATCGTGATCACGTTGTTCCATGTGACACGCGACTAGATGTGTAAATAAAGAGCATTAGTCAGCGAAGTTTACTAAAGCAATACATTAGTTCCGTTGAAAGTAAATACGTGCTCAATACTTTTACTAATTTTGCAAAGCAAAAAATAACCCCGAGATGCTAGTTTAATGGAAATATTGCAATACAACTACAAGTTCTACTTACTTTGTGATCTACATGCGAAAAACAATTAAGGAAAAAAAATACAATTTGGGTGCTAATCAGCGACAATTGGGGCCGGGTGCTATGAAAATCGTTCAGTCCATTGTATAAAAGCGTTAAACATTTCACAGACAGCACATTTACTATCTTCTGGTTGGGCTACAAACAACAGAGTGTGTCGTAATTTCAAGAAGACTGAAGAAAACCAAAATGTTTTCTTCTATGGTAAGTATAAAGTAAAATATGGTAATATTTTCCGTAATACTTATTACTTATTAACTCCTCGATTTAGCTAATATTGTCCCTGCTGACTTGCGTTGTGATATTTCAAAACTGTCACGCCTCCCCTCGCGAAGGCATTCAAAGTCTAGAGCCTGAAGCAGAGATGGTATTGCAAAGACCAACGCTGGAAAATCTTTATAAATCTGAAAGTGCTTTGCACAGATTGAAGCGTGCCCTGCAGGATTTATCTTACGACGAGCCGACTGATGACATGGAATTCGCGGAAATCAATGTATTCCGGCCCCTGTTTAGTTATCGTTTCTCTAAGGTGAAAGCTCGACCGCAACAATTAGGGAGATAGTAGAATCTATAAGTATATTAAGTTCATTGGCAGAATCTAAAGACTCACTCCATCATTATTATAAGTATTTAATTTAAGTGTTTTTAAATAAAACAAAAATATACTGCAGTATTTTCCACTTTCTTAAATCTGTTCGATTTGTTCTAAAGATGTATTATTTTTTTCTCCAGTAAGAAGTGTAAAAATAAAGAAGAAATGGACCATTCTTTATTAAACATTGACATAGATTTATTTTGTTACGAATATATGTATTATGTTTTAACTTAGCCGAGCTACATACATATATGTATCTATATCGGTATAGGTATTTTATTATTTCTTGCCGTTCACAGAAATCAGAGAAATATTCAAAAGTTATTCAAGATACTACAAATTACTTGTCGAAAATCGACTTCTCCATTAAAGCTGAAATATTTATATTTAACGTTCCAATGTTTCCAGTTAAGACCTTCAGAATATCATATATTGAAGTACACACAAGCTACAAAGTTTAAATAATTGATGTATTAATCCTTCTAGATGAATTATTGTTTTGCTGCTTACAGTTCCTATACATGTTACAAGATATACAAATATATGTGTACCTATTTATACCAAAGTTTCTATATCTTGTATTATGTTTCTCAAATTCCTCACATTGCAATTTTATTTAAATACAAATGAATAATACAAACACAATATTTTGTTTACATAAGAATCGGAAGACGAAAAAATAAACTCAACGTAAGTATTGGATAGCATTATAGTATTAGTTCAGTTCATACAAATATAGTACATATATACTCGTACATGCATCCTTATGCTTCCAAGAATATAAATGTTTACCTAATGTTTTTAAACCCTGTAATACTCTCCTTGTTCCTAATATTTTGATAATAATAATATTATTATTTTAAATTATATTATAGGTTGAGCGAGTGGAGCCCCTTGTTGACCACTTTTGATTATTAATAGTACATACATGTATTTATTGTTATAAATTACGCACAAATTCACATAAATATGTAATTACACATAGAACATATAGTATAATAAACAAAGAATCGCATTTTTCAGTTACCCACATATGTAAATAGATACTCTTTCTACATAGCTTAGGAAAAATATTTATTAATCTTACCAATTTTAAATAGAAAATTCGAGTAGATTTACGGCTGTTGGTTCTGTGCATGTTTTTCTGCTAATCATGCTTCTACGCTCCTCACCCACTTTTTAAATTAAATTTGATTTAATTTTTGATTATCAGGCTTTAGTTACCTAGGTATTTGAAATTTCATTTGCCTTACAGTAAAATTTGTTCTTTGATTAAACAGAGCTATGCATATAGACATCACGTACACATTTATTTTATACATAAATACAAACATACAATATACTATATATGGTAATTAAATATACATACAAATTTTTTTGGTGTATGTTCATGTAACGGTAATCGAAAGATCGAAACCTGTTTACTTGTTTTGTGACCCCCATTAGTTCCTTTTTAAGGTTATGCCGTAACATACGTATTATATAGTACATTTAAAAATAAGAAGTAATTTCTCATTATTTGGTTAATTAGGATTTTGGTGTTTACTTTTCGGTCGGTTTCTCCAAATGCCGACTGTTTATAGCACTTGCAAGTTCTCACAGTGTTTAAACTTGGAGTCCTCCTTTCCCAGTATCCATGTAAGCATCTGACGCGCCTTCATGCTGGCCAACATAACGCTGCGACTCTTATACCAATGCGCCGGAGAGTTGGCATCTCGAGGCCCCTGAAATTAGTTATAAATTCGGCATTAGTTCTCTCCCTTCTAGTGGGCGCAAGCGTGTAAGCTCTTAACTGCCAATATCTTGTTGGAGTTTAAAAAAGTTCTTATTGTTATTATTTTTGTTTGCAACAACTGGGTGGAAGAATATTTTGGATGTGAAACACAAAATATGATAACATGAGAAACGGGTAACAAAAACGTAACAAAAGTTGATCAGTTTACAAGTTCTGGAAAGGGCACAGTAATACGATCTATTTTATTGTTACACTTATTTTTATTTTTTTTAGTTATAAAAGACAGTCAGCTTTGGCAGGAATTGGGTTATATTCATAAAAGTATATTGTTAAGTCTTCCTTTGTTTGTCTTCTCTCGATAACTTATACATTTCTTAATAGTTACAGGAAGTTCGCATAAACGTCTATTGGTAATGCTTTCATGCATATTTGAAACCCGTATTGGACCTCGGATAAGGGGTTAAAGGGTCATGCCTACAACAAAGACAACAACAAGAACAAAAGCGAGGTGGGGGTGTTATAGTAACGTTGCAGGATACTTTCGGAACTATTAGGTGGGCTTAAGTATTCGATGTGCTACTTACCCCAACGTCAGGCTTAAGTTCAGTTAGACAAGTTTCAGTTTCTAGCTCTAATTGCTTGTCTTTGTCTTTAAACTTAAGCTTGTCTTTCGACTTTTTCGGATTAAGCTGCGAAAGCGATTGATTACATTGATTACAAATAACATAAAACAAATGAATGGAAAGCGCTAAAGAGATGGTAAGAGCTGGCGATGGCCTGTAAACCAATTCAAGCGGCTGTCCTTGACGAACCAGCTGTACTAACTAATTGGTGCTGGCTACATACATACGAGTACGTCTATGCTACCATCAACTAACACTCAGCAGCGCTAATTGCATAAATCCCCGGGGAGAACTGTGAACATACCTGAAGCAGGTTCTGATCCTTCTTCAAGCGTATCTGGGTCAGGGTGCCCGCCAACAGCTCGTCGCAGTTATGGTTGATGCCCACGGAAACCTCTATGAACTTTGCTCCGAACGTGCAAGCCAGACACTTGCCATCTGCATGAAACGAAAGAACAACAAAAACGCCAGCATAATTTTAATAAAAACACACTAAACAGCGACGAAAAGTTCTGTCTACTATATATATGTGTGTGTGTGTGTGTGATTGGTCATAAATATTGATTAGCACTCGAACAATATCATAAAGCATTTGTGTGCCAGCGTTTGTTATCATTACCGCAAACTTCAATAATAGGACTATGTGGCCAAAGTACATAGACGTAGAGGCCTGGCCCAGCTGGCCCAACTGATTACTGAAACTGAAATGGGCGAACGACACGCATGTGGCCCATTAATTGAATGTCGGCTACCTTCTGGGTTGCTGGCTGCACTGCACTGCATTGCTTTATGCAAATGTTGTGGCAAGCGCCACACATTTGTTGCAACGACCACTAATTGGCTGGCAAACGAGTTGCCCCTTTTCTTAACTCACTTACCTTGCGCAGACACGGAACGGGAGCGGGCCAAATCAATTTTATTCGCCACCAGTATGATGGGTCGGTGGCGCAGCAAATCCATATCCTGCAGACGTGAGAGTATTTGCTTGGCACGCGTAAACGACTCCTTGTCGATGCAGGAGTAAACCACCAGAAAGGCGTCCGCCTGCTCCAGTTCCTCCTGCAATTGAAACACCAAAGCGCCAATTTAGCTTAAAACCACACAATGCTTTTGCGAATTCAACAAGTTTTCATTTTTCCTATTTTGGCCTAACCATCACAGACAGTGGGACTTTTATGTTAAGTTCATCACATTTTTCTTTATACTTTTTAAAATGTTTATTCTTTATTTAAAATTTATTTATTTATAAAATTATATGTTAACTTTGACATTTTGTTGTAATCATGTGTTATGTCATGATGGCCAATTTAGCTTAAAACCACACAATGCTTTTGCGAATTCAACAAGTTTTCAATTTTTCCTATTTCGGCCTTCAAAACCATCAACAGACAGTGGGACTTTTATGTTAAGTTCATCACATTTTTCTTTATATTTTTTAAAGCGTTTATTCTTTATTTAAAATTTATTTATTTATAAAATTATATGTTAACTTTGACATTTTGTTGTAATCATGTGTTATGTCATGATGGCCAATTTAGCTTAAAACCACACAATGCTTTTGCGAATTCAACAAGTTTTCAATTTTTTCTATTTCGGCCTTCAAAACCATCAACAGACAGTGGGACTTTTATGTTAAATTCATCACATTTTTCTTTATATTTTTTAACATCTTTATTTTATATTTAAGAACTGTCCTAGGTGATGGTTGGATGGAACTCACATTGTGGGATTCCTGCTAGCTGGTTGAGTTATGACACTAATTTTATGTTAATTTATAGTAGACATTTTTCACTTTTTCCTCTATATTGAAAAGTTTCTGTTCATACTGAGTTGTACGTGAAAGCGTGCCTAACAGTTTACTCAAAAAAATCGACGATTTTCGTAATCGTGATGATTGCTAAAATTATAATCTCACAAAAACTCTCACAGTGTCACAGAAATGTTGCAAGCCGTAGGAAAAAATCAGAATAGATTTAATAAACAGATATCTACTTGTATATAGTACGGGTTTATCAGACAGCTGCCAGGGAAGCTTGGTTAAGAAATCATTGTATATGCTGGAAAGTTGTCTGTTCATTTCGACATAGTAAGCACATATGGTTGTTAGGAGTTTTTTTATAGTGAGTACAGTAAGTACAAGTATATAGCTGCGATAGGTATGATTGGTACAACACATTAGCTTACATTAGTTGAATTGTAGAAGGGAAAAATATGGGTAGAGGGTATTCGGGGGTTGGGCTTGCTCGACTTTAACTTTCTATTCGTTTCATTATAAGAAATATGCTAATGTCACGCAAATTTTGGAATTGTTTATAGCACAAATAAATATGTACTTATATGCACCTAATTCTGTTTTTACACGATCTCTTTTACACGGTTTTGATTAAACACGGTTTGAAATTTTAAAATGCATGACTTTATTCCATTTAGCACGATTCGAAATGTGTTTTTTAATGCATTTTTTTGCACGACTTTTTCTGCAAACCAATCTACCGTGTAAAAACAGAATTAGGGGTATTGTGAAATACGAAAGAACCTCCACGTAAAAAAGAGTTGAAGTCCCTGGTATAATTGATTTGGAATTATAAATTGACTATTGTAATTTAAATATTACCAGTAATATTTATTAGTGTTTCTTTTTTGTTGCATTTCTTCCACTGTGCGTTACTTCGGACTGTATTTTCAGTCTTTTAATATTTTATTGCGTTCTCGTAGCTGTTGTCGAATGTTTCATTTGTCTGTTTGTTTGCCTGTAAGTCGATTCGTTTGTGTGTCTTCATTTAACGTAAAATTAAAAGTTAGACGGCTCTAAATGTGTTTTTACAACTCCGGCAGAGGGTGTGGCCGGGTGGCCGTGCTCAGTGAAGTGGTCGTAAAGGAAAATGTGCACAGGAAGCGCTCCTTGAAGCCGGCGATTTTGTATTTTTGCATTTTACGCTCGTAAACTCCTCGAATGTGCTGTAAAAAAAATTTAAATTACGGGCACTTGGCTATGAACGAGCCAGGTCATTAAATCGGGCCTCACTCCATACAGTTGGCAACATGGAAGACATACAAATGGGCAAAAGCTTTTCATGAATGATTTCCAGGACTTCAGATAAAATGCAACTTTATTTAAAAGAATGCAGTGCATTTTCATTTACTTCTCTGCAACGCAGAAGCTTTTTCCTTTTAGTGTGCTCTTCTGCGATTTAAGTGAGTAAAAAAACGAGTTGTTTTACCACTAAATTTTTCAATAAGATAAAGTGATGCCTCAGCGTTTTTCCGAAGGCAACTCAGTGTACTTGAGCCATGACTGGCCCAATGGTACTTTATCCCATATCGCGCTACTTGCGAAAAGTCCCTTTATTCTTGCGTTCAGGTGACTGCCCTTCCGTCAATCTGAACTGAGTTAAAACTCAGGACAGATTCTAAATAAAGAATGACATGAACAAAAAAATACTTTTGGATCATGCCTTTCGAAAAAGTTTTTAAACGCACGTGTTCAATATAAATACATAGTCGGACATAACCCCAAGACTTAGTTATAATATTATACCCATAATATTCAAAAATTCAGCCTATTATCGTTATAAAATGAATGTCACTTTTGAGATATAAATAGCATCACAATAAAAAGTATTTGATGAACAAAATTGCAAAATATTAATGTGTATTATAAAAAACTGACACGAATTAAAATAAAAAAAAAAAAAAATATGAAATTGAATTAAAAAGGGTTCGATTATTCCGACTTTTAGTTGAATAAGCAAAAGTATGAAGTTTCAAAATTAAAAATAAATACGGCGCCAGGGAGTTAGTTCAAAAGGATCATTTTATAAAATGGCATCTGCTGATGGTTGCTTTTAGGAGTAATGGAATAATTATTTCACTGTTCGGCTGACAAAAACCAAATTCAAATTCACATCTTTGTTAAATAGGCTTTGGCAGACAAGAAAAAATTAATAAGAGATCGATTTAAAGTAGTTTACAAAATACTGGAAGCAGTTTAATGCTGTTGGGGAGTAAAGAGTGCAAAAAGTTGCCCTTTCAGTCTATAGACATTGAATAATAACTATGTATATATAGTATATATATATACAAGATATTTCTCCTTTTCTTTCTTTTTAATTATTTAAAGTTAAAGACCTTGGCACAACCTATGTTGGATTGGGCATAAATGTAAAAAATATCAGGCAAAGTTTATAAGTTTATTTATTATTTTACTTAGTATAAGTAAAAAGTACAAAGTATCATTCGTATCAAGTATCAAAATACTGGAAGCAGTTTAATGCTGTTGGGGAATAAAGTTTGCAAAAAGTTGCCCTTTAAAGGGCTTTCAGTCTATAGACATTGAATAATAACTAAGTATATTATACAAGATATTTCTCCTTTTCTTTGTTTTTAATTATTTAAAGTTAAAGACCTTGGCACAACCTATGTTGGATTGGGCATAAGTGTACAAAATATCAGGCAAAGTTATTTATTATTTTACTTATTATAAGTAAAAAGTACAAAGTATAATTAGTTGTTTGACTTTTTGAATAATTTGAAATAGTAGTCGAATGTCAAAGGTCAAGTTACCTTTGCTTTTACATTAGATTGGGAGGCAATTCTTATTGCTGCACATAAATATCTGTCATAAATAGTTTCCACGCCAGCCAGAGGCCCTGCTGGGCGTCATGTAAGTTTATATGGCGGTAGGGTGCTTCGAGTGGACCGGAAGTGAAAGTGCAATTTACTCACAGTTAACTGGAGCGCCGGCCATTTTGTGGCCAAAACGCCACAAGGTGCCCCAGAACTTTATAACTGCAAAATGCACAACATGTTGCAACTATATGAGTATGCGAATATACATACAAGTATGTATGTACATATATGTATGTATAGTAGGTGACTGTGTGGGTTTTTGAATGTGTACATTTTTCTTTGCTGACTCTTCTGTGTATTCCGCTTACAATTTAGCGGTGAATTTCATATTTGCATTTCACTTTTCAACTTTTGCTAGCCGTGTTTCGAGGGTTGTGAAGTGGCCGGTGCTCGGCAGTTTTGTGTTCCGGTGCAGAGGGCAAAAGACGCTATAATTCGTTTTTCTTTGTCATGTTCCGTTGGCATTGCGCTGTTGAATTTATAAATTGCTACCATTTCCTTTTGTTTGTCAACGCGTAAGTCGTCCTCCATAATGAACACCATTTCTCTCATAATCGGCAACATCATCAGCAGAGGCAGAAGTAGAAGTAGAAGAAGGAGCTGAGACGCAGCGTCGTCGTTGCCATTATAATTATCGCCTTCATTATTGTTTGCACCAAAATCGTATCCAACGTCGTCTTATGGCTCGCTGACCATTTGGCATTTAGCCAGTAATTTGGCATTTCGATTGCATGGTCATGTTTTTCTTTAGCTTTCGACTATTGTTGTTTCCCATAATTTTTATCGAGTAGTTTTTCGTTTATTCACCCTTGCCCTGCAGACTCTTTTTTGGTCCAAAAGGGGACAAATAACAACAAAACCACTTTTTGAATTTAGGTTTTGGATTTCTTGAATCGTTTAAAAGCTTGAGCATCAATTAGTATAAGTTAAAAACTAATTCGAAAAGTTTCCTTTTTTTAAATTTCTTTTTAATTTGCTCAGAAATTATTTAAAAAATAAGATTCACTTAATAAGCTGCAGAGAACAACTTTGAGAATACTTCCAACTGATTCAGAAGCTAAAGTCCCATCTCGAAGAGGCCAATATTAGATAAGTAGGACGGCCAAAAAGCAACTGTTACCGAATCTACTGGCTTGCTGCTTTAAAACTCTTCCCCAAAGGGAATATTAAGAAAGAAAAACAATAATATTTTAACAAAAAAGAACAGTAAAAGTATTATCATCAAGTCATACATGCGGGTATACAAAATAATGAAAAGAAAAAATGCTTAAAACGTACGAGGCTAAACAAAAACCACGATTTGAAGAAAAATAAGTACCAGCGGTGCTGCTTTAAAACTCTTTCCCAAATATGAATTCAAAAGCAATATATTTTTAACAAAAAATATTGAAAAGAAAAAGTGTTTAAAACGAGCGATGCTAAACAAAAAAATCCACCAGCGGTGCTGCTTTAAAACTTTTCCCAATTATGAATTCAAAAGTAGTATCTTTTTAAACAAAAAAGTACAATAATATTTTAGAAAAAATAACAGTAAAAGTATCCAAAAAAATTTAAAACAGTTACATATACTGCCAAATTTGTGTCCTCAAGTCATACCCACTTGCCGAAAACCATTTGTTGAAATAAACAAAAATATAAAACAGAAATTCAAATAAAATTAACATAAATGAAAAATGAATTTTGAAAACTAAAAAAAGAAATTAAAAAAGAACGTTGAAAAAAAAATAATAACAAGTAGGACTTCCCTGAAGGGCAGCCAAATGAAAACTTAACGGGAGCGTTCAGCAGGTCGTAGCGATTGTTATCGATCATAACTGACTTTACCTGCTGCGATTTGTGATTCGGATAAGTAAAAATGTCAATCGAAATCACAAAACTCAAATAGGGAAAATATTATGATTACTTGATTTCGATTTTTCGAATCAGAATTTGGTCGAGACCTTAGCGGAAATATATAAAATGGCAAAATGCATCCCAGAAACCTGTGACTTTTTGACCAAATATACTAAAATCAGAATATATGATTAAAACAGTCATCACAAGCGGTTGACAGATCAACCATCGATAATAAAAAATCGTAAATCGTTACGACCTGCTGAAAACGATTTAACAGATAAATCAAATTTTTGCTGTCTAGTATTGATAAAATGTGGTTATGCAACACTGAAAAAAGTAAAGCTTGTACCGCACTCACATACACTAAGAAACTAACCTAAAAGCAAGCAATTGTATTGAGAGAAATCTGACACGGTTCCTTTGGTTCCCATGTGTATGGGTCGTGTTCTATACATCGCCTTGTCATTAATTTAATAGTTGGCTTGTTAATAAGTATTACATTTCTATTGAAAGTTAACTGTTGAGAAGCTCTATTTCTCTGCCTTTTGTGTGTTCTTAGCTTTTCAGCTCCACAAGAAATTATGCACAAATATCCACTGAATACGCGCCGGAAAATCCTTTTTACTTATAGGTGTGAACTTAAAGTAGAAGAATCGATGATTCATTTAAAGTGTGTAGGTATATTTAAAAAGCAGAATAAGGCGTTCCTGGTAAACGTATACCCACTGTAGGTGTTTATTCAAGCGGAAGTGAGCAGAAAAGGTAAGTCTTGGCACTATAGTCAAGTCACAGTCGCAGTCCCCATTTGAACGTTTCTCTTTCGCCCACATAATTAACCCTACTTCAAAATGCAGCCAGCGTCGCACTCTTCCTTTTTACAGCCAGAAGGTACAGGTATGTACTATACATAGTTTTGTGTGGGCTGATGGGCTTAGTGTGCCACAGACATCTCACAGAATGTTTCCATTTCTTTTTTGATTTTAATTTCAGTTTGTTAGCCGTGCGCTTTGTGGGAAAGTTTTCTTAAGAGTGGTGGCAACTCAAACTTTGTGGGAATTTGTGGTTTAATTAGCGTGCTTGCCTGAAGCACTCAATTGTGTTACGCAGTCATTTTGCAGGCTCGAATAATCCAATGTATGCGGATTATGCCATTTGGGTTGTATTTTATTAGTAGTTGGTATGAGATTTGTGCGACTGTAAACCTCAGCTGGCTGACAAGCTCATTTGTCTTGGTCGAAGCAGCTGCGTCCCTTTTACAGACAGTCTGTGGTTGACCGAAAATAGTGGGAAAAATATTATACACAATGACTATAATATAAAGTACACATACAAAATATACTCTTACGTCAGTTGCCAAAAAAAAAAAAAAAAAACAGCAAGCCACAGGAGCTCTGCTTGACAAATCGCTTTTAATGTTGATTGTTTCGCAACATTTCACAAGAAATGTTGTTGAGTCTGCCCTTTAATCTAGCTTTTGACTGCCGGCTAAGCACTTACCTTGCTCTCGGGGTTGCCCGTGAGGAACTTTAATTCCGACTCGGTGCCATTCAGTATAATGGAAATGTTCTGCTCGGCCTCATCGCACTCTGTTAAAGAGAAAGACATTAAACTGAAGCGTATGAGCAGCTGCATCCATTGGTTGTACTAATTTAAATTAATTTCGTTCGCAGCTGTGACAGTTGTAAGAAGCTAATTTGTTAAAAGTAAGCGCCGTCAGGCCTGCTCACCGGGTCCATCATACGCATTGATGCAGTCCGAGGTGCGAAACTGCGAGATGAGCGCCTGTTTGCCAACACCCGGCGATCCCAGCATTTCGACGCGATAAAACTCGACGGGCTGATGATTGTCCGCAGCCTGAGGCTCGCCATAGCCATTGCTGTTTCCGGCTATATAGCCGCTGCCCATGTTGCTGCCCCCGCCACCGCCCCCACCAGGGCCGCCCACAACGCTGCGCGGGTGCATGGGACTGGTTGGTGCGAGGCTGTTGCTGCGTGAACGTCGACGCCTGAAGGAGTCGCCACGATTAATGATACCTGGAGCGTGACAAGAAAATCGCACAAAGCACGAAGTGTAAGATACCTAATGGGTGAAAGGACCACTGAGGCAGACACTTGGCAATGCTTCAGGCAGCACACCTTCCAGGCTGTTTGACAAACTTTAGCTTTTACCACAGGAATTTCAATTTCAACTGGCAACTAGCAACTAGCAGCCCTCAGCTCGTTGCAATTCATATTTTTAATGCATCGTTGGCTTTTGTGTGCATTTCATCCTCATCCCTGTTCGCATTTTCCCCACTTTTCCCAGCGTCACACACGGCGTATGGCAACATATGCCGGCTTGTTGCGCATACGCCGCGTTGCGCCGACAAGAATTACGGTTCTCTGCCTCAGGCCTTGCACACCAACAATACATAGTTAATCCGGCTTTTGTTCGGCCTTCTGTTACGAGTAGCTGTGGATGCTTTCCCAGCCACAAAGGCGACATTCTCACATTTTTGTGGCGTTCCCTTTTTTTAAGTCTACCTTATCAGAAAAAGGACACGGCTGTGGCTTTAATTTTAGTTCATGTATACACCTACTATGTATGTATGTATGTATTTCTCGGCATGCAGCCAAACCGATTTCAAAAGAGCGCTATTCAAATGTTTAAATGTCAATTGATCAAGTGTCACATTAAATTAGTGCTAAGCCATTCGCTTTCAAATGCAAAAATTGTCTGCACATGTCGCAACAATTTTTCATCTGCTACGTTCAACAGAAGACAGTTTCGTGTGTTTTTGTATTCAGCTCAGAGCATCTACAAGATGTATAGTCTGCCGAGAGAATAAATCAAAATAAGACGTTTGCCCTTTTTGCAGACAATTCTATTGTAATGCAATTTATTCTGGCAGCCTTTTAATTCAAACACACTCGCAAGTTGTAGTTTAATTATAAAGAAACAAACTATAGTCGCATTATATGACTATAATTAGACAATTTTAGTTTACTCATTCCATTCTATTGTCAATTGTCAATTGACTTTAAGCTTTTCTAAAGATGAAGAAAAAAGCACTATTAAATGTTTGTGCATGCTTATGTTTATGTAATTATTCTGTGTACATTTAAATGTCATAAATTGATTTATGACTTCAAGAATTGCATGTTCCTATGTGTTTCAATTTATCTCAGACTTTTGCCTTTTTCTCGCGGTCATTAATTGTGCAAATTTGATTTAATTGCGAAAATGGCTGTAAACATTTAGAAATAGCGAGGCACATGGTGCGATGGAAAATCTACACATAATCATCATCCTCACCATCATTATTGGAAACTCATAAAAGCGCTTTCGGGAAAATGGAAATAGCATTTGCGTTGGCCATTGTTTATTTCGCCATGATTTCATTTGTGGTGTGGCCCGTGCGTGTGGGAAACAATTCATTCGAAAAGGTGCAAACTGCTGGCAGTTAAATTTCTTCTGGCGGAGCTCATTTTTTTTATTGGATAATAAATATTTGAGCAAGGTTCATTGTTTATTTTTAAATATTCACCAATTCCGCACATTTCAGCGCAGCATTCAGAGTACCTAAATACATTCGAATCAGTAGTTATTTTGTTGCACTTAAATTGGTTTTTTTTTGTTTTAATTCTTTATAAATAGCTGAACGTTATTTTCATGATCTCCTTTCTCCTATAACTAGAAATTGGCTTCAACATTAATTGCTGCATTTATTTCATTGTTATCTTGCTGTATGGGTTAGTTTTCAGAAATGTAATGATACTCTTCACCAAACTTTAACCTCTCAATTTTACATTTTTCTTAACAACTCTTAATGTTTTTTGAAGCATGGCGATGGCAGAGTTGTATTTAAGTCTTAGAATTTGCACGCAATCGATGCTTTATTTATAAAATCAGCTTTCGTCTGTAATTCTATATAAATATTTTGGGTTCTTGAAATGATTTCCTGCCATAACTGAGCTCTTGAAGAACGTTGGAAATTCTGGCTGTAGATACTATAAAAAAATGTTGTATCGTTTCATAATTATTTGCATAGCCTTGAATCTAGCTTTTCTTTTTTTTTTTGCCACATTTCAATATACATATGTATCTTTTCACACAACTTTGATGTTTTCTTTGTTTGGATTTTTATACTTTTTCTCCCTCTTTTTCTTCTTTTATTGCATGTTTGTTCACACTGATATCAGCCACAATGTATGGCTTCTTAAATTTTGCATTTTTACGCTTCTTGTGTGTATGTGTTTTTTTAAAAATAATAAATAAAATAATTGCAAATTTTATTGAGTGATTGATTTAAGGCAAAAATGTGTTGCTCGATTTATGGCAAACACGCATATGAATATGTTTTCTTCAATTGAATGGCTGACAAAGGAAATATTTACTTCTATGTAAAATGAAAAAATTAATACATTATTTGCAACTCAATTCGATGAGTTTTAAATGGCCAGCTGTAGGGCTAAAAAAAATCACTGATGCCTTGCAAATTCGAGTCTATTTACGCCATGTGCGGCTGTCGAACGGCATTTCATGGACATAATCTTTCAATTAGAGCTCAATTTACACACTTTCATACTTATAAGCCTATGTGTGCGTGTGTGTGTGTGTGTGCATCCTAATCGAATACAAACAGCCGCACACACCCCAAACACATTGCGTTTCGAATTGATTTAAAATGAAAATATCAGTCATGACGCTTTATTGACACTCGCGTCCATTTCAATTAATCACATTTGCCCGTAATGCGTCAGTATTACGCATAGAGGCCCCTCCCCCTCTGCCTCTTCAACACTATGTAATTGAGGAGCCGAGAGAGATGTCGAATGGTTGAACGGATGATTGAATAAACGCAACTACATAGCTGGATCTGCGGCATGACTGAGTGGCAGTTGCTTTCACAAATTAATTCTTCTGCCAATTCTGCGTTCGCAAAAGCTGTAAACACAAATGACGGACTGAATTGCGCCATCGGTCCCAGACTCCTTCAGAGGTCGCCAGCTACGAGTCGCATTGGAATTCGGGCAAGCATCCTTTAAGTTTAATTGAATGTGCACATACGAGTATGACAGCCATGACCACACACATGAATATACATACATACATACATATGTACGAAAGCAAGTACATGTACATATACTATGCATATAATTTGCGGACCCACAGTCGCATACATAAATATATGTATGTATGTATGCGGGTATGCAATGCTCGTTTGTATTCGAAAGCAATTTAGTTGAGTAAACGATGGCACTTCATTGAATTTTAATATGCACTGCGTTTCGTTTGCCATTTGAAACATGTCAGCGCACACACACAGTTGTCTGCATTCCCCGCCGCCAACTTGGCCGACAAAGTTGCGATCCAAAACTACATATACTTACACGTACATATGCAGTAGATTCCCAGCCACATGGCCTAGAATGGCAGTTACAATGACAATTGCTAATATGCTTGTCTTTGTTTCTATCTTACGCGACATACATACGAGTGTGTGTATGAATGTGTGTGTGTCTGCTTAAACAAAGTCTAATATCATTCTGAATAGTCTAAAGTTTAGACTCTAAACGGTTAGTACTTAGAATTTAATAAGCTACTAATGATTTCATTACATAATAAGAATGGAGAGTTTGTGCTATTGGTGCCCTGTCTGATTAAATGATTAAAACCATTTTTAAAAATAAAAAATAAATAAATTCAAATAAAAAACAAGAGAGAACGCTACAGTCGAGCAAACCCGACAGTGTAATACCCTGTACCCAGGTAAATTTCCGTCACTGAGTTATATGTGTTGTACTGGAGAGAATTTGTTTCGCTAATAACTTTTCTTAGAATTGACAGAATTGAATAACATTTTAAACAACAGTAGATTATACATAAATTATGTGTGCACAATTTGGTTTAGGTAGCATTCAAAATGTGGACGCTATTGACAAAATTCTGTAGCGGGGGAAAGGGGAAAATAAAAAAAAAAAAAATAATAAACTCGTCTTTTCTCGGACCTAGGAGAATCTGGATGCCAACGTTGGTTATTCTAGCTTTTATAGTTTCTGAGATCCTTGCGTTCATCCAGACGGACGGACGGACATGTCGAGATCGATTTCTCTCGTCATGCTGATTCAGAATATATATACTTTATGGGGTCGGAGATGCTTCCTTCTGCACGTTACATACTTTGCACAAACCTAATATACTCTTTTTACCCTACCGGTACAGGGTATAATAAAGGTTTTACCAAGTTTGGTTATTTTAGCTCCTATGCTTTTTGAGATTCTTACTTTCACACAGACAGGCGGACTGGCGGACATTTTCATATCGACTTAGACGAGTCGATATTATTCATCCTTATCAAGAATATATGTTTATCTGTTGTGCGGTCTGCCACGCCTTTTTCATTCATACATTTCATGAACAGGGTGGATACCTTTCTAAATAATTTATTGAAAATATTTTAGATGGTATTACAACGGGCCTCCTTGGCGTAAGTGGTTGGATGAGAACATCGCCCCAGATTTTAATCATACCGGAGTAATTGGAGTTATACCAAATTCTTAAATTGAAAACACATAAATGCATTTTCTCATTAATAATTTGTTTAAAATTATATAAGAAACTCATGATACGTTGTTCAAGAAGCTTGCATAATTACCAAAGATATAATAAATATATCCGTATAATGGCTAGGAAATGATTCACATTCCATTTAATCAAGTAAGAAAAAATTAGAGTAGTTGTATTTCATTGGCGATACTTCGGGAAAATCTCTGACCACTTATTGCTGTGAGTTGGGGCACCGGGTTGGAGATTTCCCTCTTTTTCTTTTCGTCTCTCTCTTTCCACGTTTCTCTTTCCTTGTTTCTCTATCTCTCTTTCCTTCTTTCTATCTTTTCCTTTTTCTCTTTCTACTTCTTACTTTTCTAATTAGTTCTTAAATAGAATTAATTTTCTTCCTCTATTTACTTTTTGTATAGTTTTTTAGGTCTATAATGTCTCTGACCACATATGGCTGTGAATCGGGGCATAGCTGGCCAACTGGCAAATAAAATTCCCCAACGTGTCGGAGGCATTAATAGACGTTATTGTACATACAGCTTTCTGTTAGGCTTTCTTATCTTTTAAGTTTTGTTTAAATTGTTATATTAAGTTATATCATCATATAATCGACAGAATTATTGTTGATGTTCTAAATAAAATAAAAATACTAAACCGAAAACTAATATTTCCCATTTATTCTACACCCCAGCTATCGCAACCTTATAGGCATGGGAGGATATTGATTTCACCTTTACCAATTACAATAAATTCAAATTTAGTGCACATTGTGTTCATGCCATTTCCGTAATTAAGTACAAATATAAACAAAATTAGCAGCAGAGCGCTGTAACCAAAAATTATCTATAACTCATAAAAGCTGCCGCAAACAATATTATATTTTCTACTTTCACTTTTTTTAAGCTGTCTGCAATTATTGCAACTGTTTAGAATATTATTATTATTATTCCCTATTAAATATATTTTACATGTATATTGCATTTTTAAATTACTTTTTTATGTCAACCAGCGACATAAAACCAAATAAACAAGTATTCATATACATATTAAATATAGCATATGACTACATTACAACTCAATTAATTACAATTAAATAGTGAAAAATAAAATGTATTTGGACCAGAAGAAAAATGAGGTTGTTAATTACTTGTATAATTTTCAATATCAACTGCATTTGGATTGCTCTTTAATCAGAAGATTTGTTATAGTGCTATTCAAAAAGATACTTGTGTTTAAATTTATGGCATAAAATAAAATTAAAAACCTTTTTTTTTTCAATTAAATCTCAAAGGCCAACTACAAATATAAGCCAGTTTGATTTTTGGAGTCAGCCCGCGGTCCTCAATCGATTTAGTTATCTACTGCGGCGTAACATTTAAAGAAACAGATTATTCTCTTTCAAAATCCATTCAATTATCTATTCAATTATCTAAAATGCTATACGCACACGTAAACAAATAAAAATTTGAAACAATGGGCGCGTTCCGCAGGTCGTAGCGATTTGCGATTTGTGATCGATCTTTACTGATTTCACTTGCTGACCGCTGCGACTTGTGATTCGGATAAGTAAAAATGTCAATCGCAATCACAAAAAACAAATCGGAAAAATATAATGATTACTTGATTTAGATTTTTCGATTTTGACACTACACACTACAAGCTGTGACTTTTTGACAAAAAATACTAAAATCTGAATATTTTCACATCACAAGCGGCCGACGATCGATAATCAAAAATCACAAATCACAAATCGCTACGACCTGCTGAACAAATTATCTTCGGTTCTGATTTTTGAAGCTTATCTTTCCACGAACGGTTTTAAATGCAACTTTTAAATTCAATAACTAGCTGGAAGTTGCTTTCCCCCAACCCCATTCTTAATCCAATTAAGCCCAGCTTGCAACTCTAGTTTAAACACTTATTTAGGAGCGTACATCTATTTGGTGCATAGTGTGATGTGAGTAACGTCAACGTGACATAAATATCGAACAGCAGGCCGCAATGGAAACTTAAAGCTCCGGCCTAAGTGGCATTAAATGCTGGCTATCGCGTAGCAGAGTCGCATCCTTTCACGATTTCAATAGATGGCTCGCTTATGTCTAATGGCCAGTTGTTGACTGTTCGACAGGGCCATCTTTATTGTGCGGTTGGTTCATTGTTGATCCTTCGACAGACAAAAACGGTTGCGTGTAATCGCTCGCATCTTGGCAGGATGGTCGCTTAGTTGCTTTGTTGATTTTCAATTTCGAAATTAATAAAAGGGTCTGCAAAGCCTTTCAATGTTGTGCCTGTGCGCCTCAGTGGGTGTGTGTGTGTGTGTGTTGCTAAATTGCTAGCTTTGTTCGGCTACTCACCCCCCTTGGATGCACTGAAAGTGCGCAGGCGATCCAAGTCCTCGTCGTCATCAGTCACGCGCAGGTGATGCATATTCATGGTGGGTACGTCGAGGAAGGCGTTCGATTTTCTGTGTGCTGGGGGCGAGAAACGAGGAACGATTGGTTGAGAAGCCTTTAAATGCTGTGCGAGACAAAGGATTCAAGTGGATTCAGTGGGTCATAAAACTTCGCATCTTCGGGCAACATGTCGTATGCGCAATTTAACTTCTTAAATGAATTGCGAATCACAACAAACAACAGCCTTTGATTGTAATACACTTTACGAAATGAAATCAACCTTTAAAGCCTCAACTGTATGTATATTCAATTAAATTTCAACCGAACGGAGCACGTACTTCACAATTGCAGTTTTTTTTATCGAGTGTGCTGCTGTTGTTATTTTTACATCCACTTAATTTTTTACGGGCTGCTGACGAAGCCATACTCGTAAACCACGGACATTTCACCTCCGCTGCTGTTTTTGTCGTTTTAACGTCTATTTTAAAAAGGGTTGAGTTCAATGATCGTTGATTGTAGTTGATGGCTGGTCAATTAAATCGCCTTTTTGTTTCAAATATTGAAAATTCTATTTTGAAATGATTGGCTGCGAATGAAACAAGCACAATGAGAGCCCTTGTCGGTTAAATGGTCGGTTAAACTGAGTATACGAGGGCCAGCAGATAGATTTAAATGCCATCTTATTTAATATCAAACAATTTTCCAATGCTTTTAGCTAGAAGGAATATGAGGAAAAGTGAAACTTAAACACGACATCTTTAGTCAATTCTCTTCACTTCCATTCACTTCCTGCTGGCATGCTCCATAATTTGCAGCACATTTTACAGCACCATCAAGAATGAATTTTAGTGCCAGAGGCAGCTTCTGGTGTGTCTTTTTCTTCATGCCATTGACGAGCTCATACCTCCCGCTGTTTCTATTAAGTAGATACACAATTTGCCACAAGTTGGCTAATCTGTAGCCGTTGTTGGCCTTGATGGCTTTATGAGCCAATAAAGTGTAGAGTATAGATAAAAGACCTATAAGCTTATTTGCTGTTTTAGGGCTCTGCTTAAATGAAATAGGCAGGGCCAAAAATTTGTTAAGAATCGATAATATTTGAGTTCTCTTTTTGTTGGCTTTTCTAATATTTAAGTGTCCTTACCGTGCTGTTGTGGTCGGCGCTGTGAAAGTTTGCGCCGCTGAGGTGGAGTCTCCGTCTCACTTAAGCGCGGCTCACTCGTGCAGTAGGATCGAGTATCCTGCAGCGGGTTCTGCTGCTGCTGTTGTTGTGCCTGTGTGCGTCTGCGTACCTATATATACGAGAATACAAAGTATAGCATAAAAATAGTAATAAATTTTCCTCGTTTTATTTATGGTTCTATTAGCAAGAGAGCCAAAGGAAAATGAATTTAAGAGCGCATTATAGTTTAATTATAGTATAATTAGATTAAATGCATTTCTTATGGTGACTTTTAAGAGCAACGAGAATTGCAGATTCCCGGATTGATTACGTGGAGGGTTTCTCGGAAGCGCCAGTTTTGCAGAATAATTCTTAAAGCTAGCTTAAGGCAAATGCCTAAGAATCGTGGATAATTGCTATTCGCTTATTCGTCCGAAATGCTACTAGCCAGGCCTTGAAGACTACCTCCAAACACTGTGATATTGTGTTTATTGAGTAGGGGCATAGCTTGCCGGACTGGCTAATAAATTTTCTCCCAACGGGTCAGTGATTCCTAACCTTTAGCTTTTAATTATACTTTATCTTTTATTATTTAAGTATTTTAATTTGTTTTCTTTTAACTTTTATTGCAATTTTTTCATCTACATATACTTCTTATTTGTTATCTGACTACTCTCTGCTGTGAATCGGGGCATAGCTGGCCGTTTGGCAAATAAAATTCCCCCACCGTGCCGGATTGATTATTAGATATTTTTGTCATTTTTATAGGCTTTTTTTAATTAGATCAAGTTTAAGTTTAAGTTCTCTATTGTATTGATTTTTTTTTTCTTTTACATTGACAGCATTGTTTGTCGATGAAATAAATAAATAAATAAATTTGTTTCCGCCATCATTTCGATATTATAGTTATCGTTCAACAACCGATTATCTAAGTCGATTAGATAATCGATCTTTTGTAAAATGGCAAACGTTGAATGTTGTGCCGTCGTCAGGGATTTGTTTTTGAAGAGCAATATGCGTTCTCACATCAATAATGAGATTAACGCTGTTTAAAGAGACTCTTTTTCATCATCGGTAACTGTTAAGTTCTGAGCAGCTCCATTTAGCGTGCAATAACGATCTTAAAAGATGAGAGACGTCCGGGACGCCAAAAAACCTGTATCCACTGACGAAAACAACGCCAAAATTCAGAAAATTGTTCTGGACGACCGCCAAATCAATGTAAAAGGGATACCTGAGAGATGAACTATGATGTTTAAAGACAGCATTCGCCATATTTTTAACAATGAATTAGACATGGGAAAGTTCACTTTCGATCAAATGAGCCATCCCATAGATCTGAAGTTGGTAATGCAAAAATTCATCAATTCCGATTTGAATAACTTCAGTATCCTCCTTAAACTCCAGACCTAACCTTAAGTGAGTACTTGTTATTCCCTAAACATAAAATTGCGCTTGGGGCAGAAATGGTCATCTAACGAGGAGGCTACAATCGTCGAAAAAATTGATTCCCTCAAATTATATTCAACAAATTATCTTTTTAAAGCAAAGCCCTAAAGTTCTATCGTACAACAGAGAGTGTTTCGAACTAATCACTGAACGCTGAGCAAACATATACTCGTTTTTTTAGCATTATTCTTTATACGTATACACGTATGTGTACTTTCGTTGTGATTGCTTAACCTTTCTAAAAGTCCTTGACTTTTATTTTCCACTTTATTGCACTCATATGTTTGCAGTTGGCGTTTCAATGAAATCCTGTAATCATATTTCTAAAAGCGCATTAGGTTTACAAATTGAAGTAAACGCTGGAATCGTTGAGGTTTCGCGGTTGAAACTCAAAGTGCTTATTGAGTTGCATTACGTATGTGTAACTTCCATGATTTGGGAAGCGTTGCCAAGTCGGTCTTGCCAATAGAGTGCAACATAAATTGCATTTACTTGTGCAAGTTTGCGTTTCGTCTCCGCCCTTATCATGACGACGCATTTCGTTGCCATAATTTATTGGTTGACTTGACACTTGGCAGCGGTCGTGGCCTTTGGCCGGATGTTGGCTCATCAAAATGGTCGCAACCGTTTAAATAAATGTCAAGGTTAAGCGTGGACTCTCTGCTGTCTTTCAACAGCTAATAAATAGATGAACCGCCAATGCCAGTTGAGGATGCAGGCGTGAGCTGTGAGTCGTGAGCCGGCAGAGGTGCCAGTTTGAAAGCGAATGCCACTCAACCGGCAATCAGCCGGGCGTGTGTTTTGAGGCAAAAGTTTGAGCACGTCCGTTGGTCTTCTTGTCAGGCACTGAATAAGCACTGAGTTCCTTAGACAACTGCAGCCACTTGGCATGTTGAGTGGCAGGGATGCCGTGCGAGTAAACGGATGCCTGTGGACGACAGTTGTGTCAGAAATGAAAACTAATTTAAACACCTGACTTTGCAGCTTCTTCTTTCCCACGCTGGTTGGTGGCTGTGGCTCTGGCTCTGGCTGTGGTGTGGTGTCGTGAGACACCAATAAGTGGCGCGAAAAATTCACGCACTGGCGTCATAATGTGGCAAGTGTATGGATACTCGTATTTAAGGCCGTCTGGTCGTGAGCTCCTCATGCAAAATGTCTAACTTTGTTACCAACTTCCGGTACGTGGCGGCCGATGTTCGCATTAGCGGTCGCACACTGGCGTATGGCGCAGGTTGCATGCCGGAAGCATTTGTTATGTATGGCCAGGGCCAGCTGTCAAGTGGCATGCGGCATGCGGCATGTGGCATGTGGCAAGGAGGTGGGCTTGCATTTTGGGCCACACTGTATTTAACGCACGACCGTACCCACAAAGTCCGGCTGCTTAAACCACACAGTCGACCAAGGCAAGGAGCAGTGCCAGGCTATTCGTATACTCGTATAAATTGTGTGTGTTGGTGTTTATCTATTGGTCCTTTTTTGACGCTCTTTATTGCGCACACATTTTACGGGTCTCGTGACTGCTAATTGCTGTTCTAACGCCACAAATTTGTTCAGTCTATTTCGGGTATATATCCAACACCAACACTATACTACTACTATATTGCCTAATCCGGATGCAACATGTCTTCACTTATGATTTGTATGCTCTTTCTTTTGCTGGGGCTTCTGCGCTGTCGCCCTTTGGGTCTGAAATTAATTACTTCCGGCTTTTATGTGTTCCCTTAACGCTATTTTGTCGTTTGCGCTGTGCTGCCAGGGGTTAGGTGATGGTAGATAGGGGTTACTATAGTCTCGAGTAGCGTGCTTGATAAAACATTGAATTTCTTTGTTATCCTCGGATGATTCATTATTTTGTCATGATATTTGAGATATTGGTATTCAAAATCCCCTTTAAAGTGTCAGCGATAGAATAATATAAAATTGTTATAATTGTTTTTATAATTGGTGTGTATTTTAATCAAATGGACTTTTTTTACAAGTTTATAGCAACACTATGCCAAAAGTATATGTGAGTTCAAGAATTAAAGTAACATCAGTTTTTTTTAAATCCCTAACTACTATTATATTTATTTGAAATGCCAGAGGACAAAATCATCAGAGTATAAGTACATTAATTCATTTAGTTTTAAATAACAAAACAGCCAGCTGTTTCTTCCCCAATGAAGCCGACGAGATCAAAAGTTTACTCTAAAAACCATTGGACACTTTGTGAACATTTAATAGGTCTTCAAAATATTTTGGCTTAAAAAATTAATTCAAATTAATATTCCAAGTCTTGTTGTTAAATAGGAATAATGTCAAACCTAACCTGTGTTGCGTTTCTTTTGCTTTTTGAAGCGTTCAAGAAGAGTTTAATGAGAGCGGAAAGGGAAATCCTGCTGTTTTCTGGGTAAAAAGGTGGCGGAACAAAGCATGTAATATCAGTCATTTTTCCCAGAAACCAAACCCCCATTGCCCCCATTTTATTATGTTAGTGGACGCTCTACAGTCGACAGATTTGAGCACAGCGTGGCACTCAGGGTAATGGGAAGCTATCTTCATTTCTACTTCAGCTGTCTTCTTAGCTCTTTAATCCCAATTAGTCTCTGTATCATGATGTGTGCGTGTATTTCTTTATGTTTTCAGCTGTTTTTCTTACAGTTCATGTATTTCTGCTTGTTTTTTTCGCCCTCAACTCTGCTCTTAAAACTTTTGTACAATTTTGAAGCTTTTCATTTGGAATTTTTCTCGGCTTCGGTTCTTTTCTTTCGCTTTCATTTAACTTTTTCTCCTTCTGCTTTTTGTTGGTGAAAAGTGTGCCATTATTGTAAAGTTATTATGAAATCGACAGCGTCACAAGTTTGGATGTGTGTGCGTGTTTTTTTCATTCTATTTGTTCTTTTTCTAGTATGCTTACATACTATATAGCGATGCCATTGCCAGCTCTCAAACAAAAGTCAGTTCATTCTGTTTGTTTAGCCCCTCCATTTGTAGCTGCAAAATCATTACGGGCACGCCCACAGCGCCGCCCATGTTGCGTTTGTGTGATATCGGAGTCTTAGAAATTTCTTCGTAAATACAAATGTATGAACATAGATATGTGCGATGTAAATAAGCAGCTTGGGACACATCAGACACCGTCGTTGCTGGCGCTGTTTTTGTGGCGTCTCTCTGCCATCTTCAATCTTCTTTTTTTTTTTTTAGTGCGCTGTGCACGTTAAATGACATTTCGACTTAAGCCTCGTATTCAACTGTGTGTATAGTGTGTGGGAGTACGGGCGGCTCTTCTATTGTCGCATTCGAAACCAAATGACTGTGCGCCCCAAAGCTGCCTCGCTTTGCGTGCTAATAACATCCACATGCCACACAACGTCGACGTTACTCATACGCCATGTGGCAGGCCCTTTGTCTGCTCTGTGCACTGTGACAGCATCAGAAATTGAGTTTTGCCGAAGAATAATTCAATTCACACTTGAGGGCGTTGGGTGTGCCCAATCAATGGTGTCATCAAGAGCGTACACACACTCTCGCACACACATCCTTGTCACGGCTTAATGTCGAGCTAAAACGCAATCGAAACTGGCGCATTTGGGTCGTGTTCAAAATTTAAACGACACGTGCGTTACACACACTCGCTGGGCACGCTTACGCGTAAAGTGTCGCTCCAAAAGCCAGATTGAGTTGTTTTGCAGTGTCGGGGCA